CGAAAAATTATTACGTCATAAATGATTTCTATAATAGTCGCAATAATTCGTATGTAAATAATACTTCTTACAACTGCTGTTTCAGAAATTATAAAATCTGCTTAGGTATAGTGAGAAAATGATGACATAATTACCAATAAAATTTACTTACAGAGGTTAAAACTTGATTGTTAAAGAATACATCAGAAATTTCATTTGCCTCACACTGCCTTAAATAGAATACGGTTATTAGCAACACGCAACACACAAAATGAATTTTTCGTCCATTATCGTGGATGATTCGTGTTTAACTAACTGCTAGTTATTTCGTATGCTTTTGTTGCGACTTACTCGCGGCTCCACAGGCTGTCAAGTGTGGCATCTGACTATTGAAAGATACGTTTAATTCCATAGTAATGAACTTGTCTTGTGTAACCGAATGGTGAATTTTATTTGTAAATGAAAATACTTTACTTGGTGAAAAACTATGCAAATTCTTTTTTACTACTCGTTTTCTGCGATTACTCGTTGAAGTTATAGAGGTTTTTCTTCGTTGAAAATTGTAACATTTCCTTTCGTCGTGGAAATTGTAAAGATTCTGATTTGTTGAAGTTTAATCTTTGTTCGGTGAAAATTCATTAAAAAAGCATTTCTGCTGCGCGACTTTTGACAGAACAGGCTAGTTATAACAAAGGATGATTCGTTTAATTGCTCTACTGTAGCTCATCTGAGAACGGAAAAATAAATAATCGATCAAATGATCGATGCCAACCGTTTCTCGAGGATATTCGAGAACATAACAGATTCAGCAACCGTTTTGACCTACGCTACTGAACCCTGATCTAATAAACATGTATGTAATACATTTAAAGAAATGTCCAACTACATTCAAGGAAATATAACTAGACCATGATACAGAACATACGAATGGTTAACACGCGCTAAAGTCCTGATCACCTTGAATGTCTCGTGTTCAAAGTGCAATACTATATACAATGCAAGTGGATATGCGAATGTGGATAATTAATTGCTGCGTAATTGTTGCAATCAGGTGACGATACATTTACATTGATTGTTGTTTGATTGCAAAGTACTTGTACACTGATTGGTAGCGACCATACTATCAAAGTTGACTTTTTCTACTGGAATAATGCAGCGATTGCTGGTTATGTGAAGGGCCATTTAAATCCGAGGATAGCCATACTGGTGTGTATCACGATATCAATGCGTTGACCTTGAGTTGAGACGTGTTGATATTCCGCCAGATCATCGGCGGATCTCATGTAGCCTCAATCATCTGTTGTCGTCAAGCGTTGAATTTCACAATCTGCCACTCAATTAGCCACTCGTTTAGCGTAGGCCATCGGCTCGGTTGGGATCTAACGCCTGTTAATCCCAATATTTTCATTTCTGCAGTACCGAGCTACATCATGTTCGCGAGATTCTCGCCTTCTGTCAGTAAGTCATCGATAATATGACCGTGATGACATGTTGGTCAATGAATGCAAGGCGGCGCAGTGTACGTCAACGCCCGTAGCCCGTGTTTAATTCCTATGTACTGACTGGTTTATTGCGCGAATATCTCCAGAGGATCCACTGAAATCTACGATCATCTTCGTGCACGCGGATCTTCTCGATGTCGGTAGACAGAACGAACCGCTGTTTGCGGAAACGAGTTAACATACTAATCAAGTCGCTCTAACAGGCTGGGCCAACAACTTCTCGATAAGAGCTTCTCGCAAAACTGTCGAAACATCGATACGATGTTTGGTAATTGGACTTTCTTTGACAACGGCGTTACATGGTGAAGAGAAATTGTATTGAGCTGCCGTGGCTGTCACGTCAACCCTGGACATATGCCCGAGGTTTTATACTGATTCAATTCCTCGACTTCCGCGACTCATCTAGACTGATAATTCTATCATCAGAAGGAATGTCCGCAGTGCCCATCCTTGTCTCGAGAAACAATGTACTAAAAGTGTTTCACGCACTCAGGATTAGAAATGATCTCTTCGTCTGTCTCTCAGAAACACTCTATCACATGATTCAAATCCGTATTTACAAACAACAAATACTCATTCATATC